ATTAATAGCTTAAGTTGCATCAAGATATTGAATTTGATAACATTTTACGACTTTATGGGATTTCTAAGAAAGGTAAAATGCTACAATTATTTTAAGTGAGTGCGTTAGCGTAACTGATACGGTGCTGTTTATACAATTATACAGATCAACAAAAAACCGAATATCTTATGGTTACTGAATTTGCAGAAGAAACTTTGCGGCTATACCTTCAAGAAAATTTTGATTTTTTAAATTGGGACAATAAACTGCGCATGGCAAAGCAGGTTACAAGTGCGGTCAAGTATTTACACGAAAGAGATATTATGCATATGGATTTGGTAATTAGATTATACTGTATATACTGTATTTCTATTATATTTCTATTGTTTATATATTTATTATGCTTATTATTAGCATCCAGGGAATATTTTTATCCATTGCAGTAATATAAAGCTTGCCGATTTTGGACTGTCTAAGAAATTAAGAGAAGCATCGAACACACAAACTGCTAGAGTACCAGTTGGAATTGTACCGTATATTGATCCACAAAGTTTTAAAACAACGGATAAAAGTGCCTATTATAAAAAAACCAAAAAGTCAGATATTTACAGTTTAGGAGTTTTATTATGGGAGCTTACAAGTGGATATCCGCCTTTTAGTTCGAATGGATACGACGTATCATTAATTCATCAAATTTTGGAGGGCCTTAGAGAAACAAGCATGATAAGTACGCCTCAAGGATATATCGATATTTATGAAGGTTAGATTATAAAGAAATAAATTATTTATCTGTTCTACGTTAATAATAGTCTTTTTTAGATGATCTGATTATTTTTAAACTTTTATTAGCCTGTTGGGATGAAAATCCAAACAACAGGCCCGAAATTATTCAGGTTCAAGAATTGCTTGAATCTTTATATACGAAAGCCAAATCAGTTGCAATGAAAACTCCTGGGGCACTTAAATTTCACGAAACCAAAAATACAAATAATATTAATAATTTTTTAATAAATAGCGAATTCGTTAAAGAAATAGAACTCAACACTTCAAATGAAATATATCAACTTATTTCCAATCAAATAAGTAAAGGGCTTGTTAATCCAGAGCAAATAACTAATTGTATTAACACGTTTATCGAAAATAATCACACGACCGCAGCACATATTTTTAATTTATTAATTAATTGCCAAGAAACACCCGAAAATGCTTTAACTCTCGGATTTTTTTATCGTTATGGAATTGGAACTATTAAAAATAATGAGAAAGCGTTTCAATGGTATTTGAAATCTGCTGAAGGTGGAAACGCCAATGGACAAAATAGTCTTGGATATTTTTATAATTTGGGAATTGGAACTTCTCAAGACAGCAATAAAGCAATTTACTGGTACCAGAAATCTGCCGAAGGTGGAAATTATATGGCGCAAACCAATCTTGGATATTGTTATACTTATGGAATTGGGACCATTTGCGATTACAAAAAATCATTTCAATTGTATCTGAAGTCTGCCGAAAATGGAAATACACGTGGACAATATGGTCTTGGGTTATGCTATCAATTGGGAATTGGAACTACGGTAGACCTCGAGAAAGCGTTTCAGTGGTACTTAAAATCTGTTGAAGGTGGAGGTACAGGTGCACAATATAATCTTGCAATTTGTTATCTCGATGGGATAGGAACCGTGGAGGATGTGGAAAAAGGAGAATTTTGGCTTAATAATTGCGAAATGTAGTCTTCGTACTTTTTTGCCAATCACGATTATGATTTTGATTTATTATATGACACTCGTATTTATTATTTCATTTATTGCGCAAAGGTAGAATTCCAGAAGTTAGGCCAATTTTTTTTCCAGAGTTTAATTATAAGCAAAATGAATATAAAAAAGCTAGGAATGATTAAATCGCAATAAATTAAAAAGGAAGGAAAAAAACTATTGTGAATTCAAATAGTTATCATTATTTTAGGAATTATATTTTACGAACTTGTAAAGAAAATATAGTGAGCTGGGGAAATTAGCGTATCATATGTTATATAATTAATTATTATAAAATTATCTCGAGGTATCAATTTATAAATTATTATATTAGGCTAGAATAAAAATGTGGAATTCGATGAGTTAGACATATAGACAACAGATTTAATATAGTAGGTCGAATTATATTGCAAATAATTTTTATTTAATTAAAAAAATACAAACCATTAGCTTTCTTGGAATCTGTTCCTTATACAAGCAAATAAAAGTATTAAGAAATATTAAAACTATTAATGATACTTTTAGTTTTTTTACTTATTAGTATTTTTAGCTTCTAGTTATATTAATCCTCTTTTGTCAAACAATTATTATTACTCACAAAGCTTTTTATTAAAAGATAATATCATTTTAAATTGTAATTTGAATAAAAAATCTTTTGCCAATTTATTATATACAGTATATATATATTTGTTTATAAAATCAAAATAAAAAATTCAATTGATCATTTTTTAAATAAAAATTATAAAAATTGTGAAAATTTTTAGAACTTAAATAATATTACAATAGATCAATTGATAAAAACTCAATTAAACTTTAAATATAGGTAATTATTTTTGAAGTTGAACAGGGATATTTTGGACACTAAATTGTACTTCTTAAAATTACATTGTTTAAAATTAGAAAAGAAAAAATATATCTATCATTTTCATTGCCTTCAAAAATAATTATTTATATAAATAAAGCTATATTGAAGTTTAGTTTATACTATTAAAACTTATTGATTTGTTATTGTCAATTTGTTTAAAAAAAAGATGCTTAAACTATATATTAAAACTTTAATTTACTTCATTAACTTGTCTAAAGACTAATCAAATTTTATTTGAAAAAATATATTAAGAAGAAGAGAAAAAAAAAATAAAACAATATTCATTTTTAGTAACACTAGTTGAAATCTGATTATTTGGCAATATATCATTCATAAATTATTTGGCATATAATAATTAATTTGTCAAACATTTGTCAATAATTCAGCAATTATTGCCAAATTGAATATGTCAAATTATTGCTAAATGTTTGACAAATGTTTGATAAATTATTTATCATATGCCAAATAATTAATGAGTAGTATACTGCTGAATAATTGGATTTCAACTAGTGTAAATAAAATAACTTCAAAGTTTTTATAACCAATTTATTAAAGATTACTTTTTTTATTATTATCTGCAGTTAGAATTCCTAACAGTATCATTTTGATATCAAATTAGTACTCAATTTACTATGAGTTTAATATAATAGGTTACAACTTATATATAAAATTTATTATAAGTTAATATTATTTTAGTATCAGTTCAGAATATTACTTGCAGCTAGAATAACCAATTAATTTATTATTTTTTTAAGTGTTATTCAAGAATATTTAAATTAAACTTATAGTTGATATTTAGTACCTGATCAGTTTTATATTTTCATTATTGAACAAAACTTATTGTTAAATATTTTCTTGAAATAAATATCACTAGACTGGCTTATTACTAAATCGGAATAAGATTTTGGTAGAGTTTTTCTAAAAAAGATATTGGATATTATAGAAAATAATTATTAAACCTATTAATTGAAAGTAGACATCTTATATACCTTTGCTATTTTTAGCAATTATTATAATATCAATTAAATAATTATTATATTATAATATTTTTTTTGGAAATCACAACATTAATATTTGTTAAATTAATATATAGATTAGTTTCTTATAAGAAATGATAGTTAACAGATTATAATATCAAATATTATATTAATTCTATTTAATTACTTTTATTTGAATTGAGTTGATATTTTGTAATCTAAATCTAAAAATATTAATTATTGTACTATTGATTCATAAATTAATTTTTTTATTGTTTTACTAATTATTAATTAATTATTAATTTATTTTAATTAAATAAACAATTATATTTAAATTCATAACATACTTGTTTAAGAAATAAAAATTTTTTTCAAAATTTTTTATTTATTTTAAAAAGTTTAATTTAGAAAAAATCAAGTTAGCATTGTTTTTATTAAAAGATTTAAGGTTTTTCATAGATAACAAATTTGTTATATTAAAGTTCTAAAAAAATTTTTTTTTATAATTAATAATTATATATCAAACTAATATTAAACTAATATCAAACTAATATTAATTTATAATAAATTTAATATATGAGTTACAATTCACCTGTATAAATTTATAATAAATTTAAGCATTAAATTAATATTAAAATAGTATTAAAATAGTATTATTAGAAATTTCAATATAAAAAGATTATTAAAAATAAAAATCCAATTGATGGTACTATTTATATAAGGATTTGTTTATTAAGATTTAAACCATTAATTAATATGTCAAAAGCATGTACAGTAGTTATATATACAATTTTCTTGGATACCTAATAATACTACTGTTTATATTATATTCAAAAGGAATAATCAAAAAACTCTTTTTTAATTAATATTAATATTATCAAAAACCATTTGAATTATATTTTACTTTCTACTTAAAAACCTATCTTTATATATACATATTAAAACTTTTAGTCAGACAGCTAAAAATAAATAAATAATATAAATAACTTGAATTAAGTTATACCATTTTTTAATGTAATATATTTATTTTTAAAAATATATCCACAAAATATTATGTAATATTGTTAACAGACATGTTTAATTAGTAATCAAATTTTTTATTTAAGATCATATTTTCTTGGAATTAAAATTTTTAACTGTTCGAACTTTATAATTGTTAGCAATCAATAAAAAAATTTACCGAATTCAATTCGATATGTTGAAGCATTGTTAGATTTTCTAAATAAACAGATGCGTGTGGACAGCTTTAAGCATTTGTGAAATAATTGATTTTAATTTTTATTAAAGCAGTGGCACAAATTAAGTAAAACAAATCGAACTTCACGGAGTCCATTGTTATCAGCAATCTAAATCCTTAAACCATGAATTTATTATATTTTGTTAATGCATAATAATTTACAGTATAATAATAATTTAACACAATAGAATCTAGCCAGAATTTTCTGCATTTCTTTCTTTGTTTTCACGTCTTTTAGCGTATGAATCCACAACTATTGCAAAATAAACCTGTCAAAGTAAATAAATTTTTTTGTTTAATGAAGAAGTCATCTTTTTAAAAGTAATCATAAAGATGATATATAGATAACAAACCGATAAAAGGATAGTAACAACGACAATAACGATAATACCTATTAAAGTATTTCTATAATCTTTATTGCAATCTTTTTTTCCATCGGTATTATCAGAATTGCACGAATCTATGAATTTGTTCTTGCGACCAACAAAAACACCAACACTAGCAAGCTGAATGCAAATGTATAGTATCAACGAGATGTAAAACAACCTTGAATAAATCCTTAGAAATTTTGCAGCATTCTAAAAATCAAGAATTTGTTAACAATTTTATGATTGAAGAAGTAAATCGAATTATAGTACATACAGCAAAACATATAATGAAAAGACCAAATGCAGAATTCAATGCTAGTAAAAAAAAGATAACAGCTACTACTAGGTAAGATACCCTGATGTCAGATGCTAGTAAACGGATAAGTTGGTCGAGAATTAATATGGAATAAGAAGTTTTTTTTAATATAATATGAAAGACTCACAAGCCTTATCGTTACTTATATAACGAATAATATTATTAACACAATTGTATATCCCGAAAACCTTTGTTTAAACAAAGAAAAAATTAGATTTGTTACTCTTGAAGAGGAAATTATAGGTCTACATACAGTCCAAAGTAAAGATATAATGACGACTCCAGCTTTTAGGTCAACGCAGAAACAACAACGGTTCATCTTTTTGATTTTTGATGTCGACTGATTAATTCAAATTTTTATATGTTTTTTTGTTAGCATAGCGTGCAATAAAAAAATCATCATTCAAAATAGATGTTCAAAGTCATTCGGAGTTATCAGTTTTGGTTTTTTTTTTCTAAAAAAAAAACAATTATATCTATTTTAATATTCTCCAAATAATTGCACTTGAATATTTCCCTTTGTCATACTATTGATACGACTTGAATTTGAATAAATTCGTAAATTTCATTATCATTTGAGCGCCCTCATACTTTTCTAGAAATTGCAGATGTTCGGATTTTTTCAATAGAGTATACTTAGTACTTAAGTTTGGGACCAGACTCCGAAAATAGAAAGAACTGTACATATATGGATATTATATTGCATGTAATGCATGTGTGATTTACGCTTTGCATGCCAGATGGCATGTAATAAAGAAATGACTTGAATATTTAAATCATTTATTTAATAAATTTAATAGGACAAACCAGTATAATTAAACCAGAAGCAAAGTCCAGGCCTACACGCTAATGTTACAATTAGATTCTGATAACGATATAGAATCCATCATAAACTAGATAGCACTATACGAAATTGTTATAGCCATTACAAATATGATTCTAATAAACAATAGACATTATTTGCAATTATATTTCAACATATTAAATAAATAGAGCCATATAAAAAATGAAATACTCGAATATTTATACACATATATAGTATATTTTTATTAAACAATATAGGATTTATTTAAGTTAAAATATGAATTTAATTATATTACAATGTTTGAAAATTTCCTTTTTTTATAATAACGATAGACTAAAAATCAAACCAAGACCATTAAAATTATAACACCTGTAGTGATGCTTGCACTTATAACTATTAGAACCGTGTACTTTGTGAATTTGAATTCGTGGTGGCCGTGGTTGAGATACTAGTTGTTTCTCCAGTTATTATAGGAGTACTGTTTGAAATAAACTCCGTTGTCTGTGTTCTCCCGAATATTAAACAAATAAATCTCGTTAGACGTGGATAGGTAACGAGTTGAAATACCTAATATAAATTGTTATCCAATATTTAATATATATTTTTAAAAAAAATTTTTTTTATGATATAATTAAAAATGTTGAGAATTATCCATGAATATATGATCTAGTACTTATATCTAAGAAAACCATGATACTGTAGTCTGTGCTGCGTCACCATCGAAATTGTATGCACCCGTATACCATAATTTTGTTGTCTAGACCTTTTCCATTCATTCAATTATAGATATATACTGTATTAGTTTAATATATATAGTATATAAATTTTCCGAAAATCTTCTTATCTAAAATAGCCGAATGGTGAATGCGTTAATCAATTATCGAGCAGTTGTATACCATTTGAAATATTTTGTATCATATACTAGTATCTATGAAAAATTGAATTTTATAAAAGAATTGATATTTTAACAATAATATTATTGTTGTTTTATTATTAATCAAGCCGAAATTTTTTATTAAATTATATTGAACTATTATAATAAAGATATATAAACATATTTAATCCAATCCATCTATCAATAATATTGAATTTCTAGATGTGATTTATGAAAACGATAAGTTGCTTATTCATTGAATAGAATTAAGATATATTTGTCCAGAATAATTTCTACATTGTATTTTTCAGTTTTAATTTTTGGAATAAAATAGCCGATAATAATATTAATTTTCAAATTTCTTTAATATTATCTGATATAACTTGAACAATAAGATATAAAACATAAAATAAAATTTTAAAATAATAAACAATCATAACTTGTATATAGTTTTAGAGATTATTTTGATAATAATATATAATACAATTATATATATAATAAAACTTCATTTTGTCATTTTTCAAAAATTATATTGTAGTAGAATTATCAAATAATATATAATAAATAATTGGAAATCATATTTTGATTGAATTTCTTTATTGTAATATAAACATATACAATATATAGTATATAGTTTGATAAATTTTAGTATTAATTTTCTTGTAAATCAATTATGATCTATAGAATTATTAAAATTTTATAAGAAAAATAGTACGTGTTCTTTTTTTTTTGAATATTAAGTAGTGTTAATATTGATTAATATATTTTATTTAGCAATTTATATTTTTAATAAATTATTTTAATAATTTTAATTATAGTATTTTAATAGTAATAAATTTATTAACAATCAATACAAATATTAATATTCCTATGACATTATTTATAGTCTATCTTAAATGATATAAAACTTGTTAATACTTGTTTGATATTGTTAGTACTTATTTCATTAGTAGAGTTTTTTCAATTTAGACTAAACTTATTTAATATATATATATATAATATGTTATTAAAATTAGATTAAAATTAGATAAAATTTCTATATACTGATACATTATTTTAAAAAATAAGTATAACTAATTTTTTTTAATTAATGGTGTTAACTAAAAAACAATAGAAAATATTATTAAAGGCTATTACTTAATTAAACTATTATTAAAAATATCAATTTTTATTATACTACTATATTAATAATTTTAATTGAAAAAAGAAAAAAACCAGGAGATCAATTATTAATTAATTAATTTAATTGTAATTATTACCAATAAATAATAAATAATAACTATTTATATATATATAATTAGTTTCAAAAAAATAAAAGAAAAGTAATTTTTGCATGTTAACATATTTTTTCCGCATTTCACAACTTAAATTATATTTTCATATCACTTGTTACAAGCTTTTACTCTTAAAAAATTTTTGATGATTATTTTGTATAATTGTACAGTATATTATTGCAAATATTTATATGTAATAAAAATTAATTGAAAATAATTGAAATAGTTTTGTAGAAATAACTTTTGAAATAAAACTAAAATGGTTTAAATAGAATTTTTATAAATAGGACATTATTTACATTATTTGCTTGTGTTATTTTATTATAAAATAATGATGCAGGAAATGCAAAATTACTGAAAAATTTATATATTATTTTATCTTTTAGATTAATATTTTCATATAAAATAGACATATTTAACAAATTAATGCTTCTGTACATATTGTAAGAGAGAAAAAAACCAAACTTGTTAATATAAGAATTGCGATTGTATCCTGACATTCTAAAAGTATAGATTTTTTTTAATCACGTTGAAAATCTTTAATCAATAATGGAAAAGAATATTTGCAAAAATTATTCACTTTCTAAAAATCTTAAGAAATAATTCAACAGAAATGGGAATCATTTCGTAAGATTTATTTATAATCTTGTTGATATGTCTCATCACATCAATGTTGTGATTGAGAGTAACCAAATATTAAATAAACATTTTTTTTCGCTTTATATATACTGTACTAACATATTTTTATGCAGTATAGTAATATACTAGGAAATGGAAACCGAAGCTATTATCATGTGTTACACGTGCGGACGGACAGAATCCAAGAATAATAAACATAAAATGTCCTTTGCTTTGGACAAAAAAATTGTTAGTTCAAAATAAATAAATAAATAATGATTACATTAATTTTAATCACGCGTATTGTTTCAGATTATAACGCATTCCTTCTATATTTAGATTTTATACACGATAAGATATCATGGTAATTTTTTTCATGAGAACTTTTAGATATATAAATGCTTTGGTTCGTAAAAATTTTTTCACTCTTTTTCTTAAATACTTTGCAACCTTTCTTAAATACTTTGCAACATTTCTTAAAAACTTCACAACCTTCCTTAAATACCTTGCAACTTTTCTTTAATACTTTACAACCTTAACTTTCTAATAACGCGTGACAGATATATAAGGTCTTTATAACAACATATAAATAAGTCAACAATATCTTTAATAATACAACATGTAGCAAGTTGACGAAATCTACAAGAGCACGAGAGAACAAGCAAGTATAAGTTTAATGATTTGTTTTTCAAGTTAATAGGTAATAAAGAAGACAGGTTGAAGCAAGATTTTGACTATCTATTTTTGTTGCCGAACTGGGATCCTGAGACTCCCATTTCCGAGTCGTGTAACTGTATTCGAGGGAACAACGGTAGTATGCTATCTTCCTATCACCCACGGTATGCGTGTAGGACACTGTAGAATGTTGTATCTCCAGTATCCTTTGCCATTCTTATTATGCATAGATTACAGATTACCGAGAATAGGTTGAGCTGAGTTGGATAGACCGAGATAGTATACTATTCAAAGTTCTATGTGTTTAAGTTATGGCGAAGGGGGGATCTCTGATTGACGCGGTGATATCCTACTATACGTATTATAATGGCTGTAAGTTGTATCAGCAAAATCTGGGGTCCCTGTTGCGATCTCATGAGAGGCTTCATACGAGGTTTTAGGTTTTGGTCTGAGCTGGTTCCTATTTGACTTGAAAAACCAAATTTGTCTTAAGCTTGCTTAATAACGCACGTTATTAACTTTTTCTAAATTTGTCATAGGTTTTGATCGTGAGAAAGTAACAAAATAAAATAAAATTTCTGATATACACGTTAAAGAATTGCTAAAATTTTTGTCATCAGTAAATTTATCCAACATGAAGTTTAGTAAAGTGTTAATGCAAATATAGATTACATGAAACTTTGAAGATTTATTTTATTTCTCAAGTTATGTGCCTTTCTCTAAAATTTCTTAGATGAGAGAATGCTTCCGTATGTATGCAATAATCAAAAGCTTCATATCAAATTGTATACATCTCTTGGTTAAATTGTAAGTCCGAAGCTGATAAGTTTATTTAGAAAAAAATAATAATAATGTGTTACACATGCATGCGGACGGACAGAGTCCACACCAAGGATCGTAAACATAGAATGTCCTTTGCTTTGCTTCGGACAATTATTTTGCAATTTTTTTTTGTTTAATTTCAGTAATATCATCAGTTAAATTTTAAAAGTGACTTGATTTTGTTAATGAATTTAATTATGCATAATTTAGTCTCTTCAACATCACCAGTTTATAAAATTATATGTCGCCCTCCTCTCAAATTTGAGAATATTAAAAAAAAGTGTTGTACCATCTAATCCCGTACATATTGATAATGACGACGTGTATATATGGTCAAGGATTTTTCTCGGCATCTGCGTTACAAAAAATAATGCGAACGTAGTTTTTATTAATTTGAATATACTCGTATTTTATAAAAAAAAAAATAATGGAAATATTTACACCATCGATTCATTAAGAGAATTAAATGGAAACTCTTAGCTGAAATTACCGAGCTTAGAAAGAAGAATGATAAGATTTCCAAGGGTACCAAAGGTATCAGATAAGGAATTAGATGATTTTATTCCTGAAGAATCGATACACCTGTCAATTTACCTCAGCCTTGTCAAAGATATCCAAAACAATTAGAAGGAAATGAGATTAATTTTTTCTGGATTTGGAAAACAAGAAATGGTTAGTAATCTGATGAGTGAGTGGAATAGGGAAAAAAACTTGGAACTCAAGAGCCTCTGGCAATGCCTTCAATATTTTATTAAGAAAGCTCAACGTTCAAAACATCAAACTCTTACAACTTACCAAGGATAAAGAAAGAAAAGCACATCTAGTTTTAATGCATATCCATACAATCAAAAAGTGGAGCAAGGTTTGAGCATGAGCTATCCATTTTACTAAAGATGATGATATCGAAAAGCATAGCTCATTTGATATTCAAATTCCCCCGAATTCCCTTGAGATGATTTTAATGGGATCTAATAAAATTACTACACAAAGTATAGCTGATTTATTCAATGTAGCAATTAAGGTCGGGCAAAAGGAGAATTTATGCTGTTATTTTTTCTATAAAGCATAAGAGGATCAAATTGAAGACTAGAGTTATGAAAGATATCAATGAACAATCATTGGTGTATAACGAAATTAAATTGCTTCTTCCCAACATTACTGATGTAAATTTACGTCAGAAAACCTTCAGAGTCAAAAAAAAATTAAACATTATTTACAGGCGTAGGGATAGTTAAGATCAAACGAATTACCTATAGCTATTTTATATCTAACTAATGTTCAAATTCAGGATATTATACAGTAAATAGTTTTCCCAAAATACGAGTACATAATCGGACCGTTGAATCTGCGCATATTGCTCGAGTGACTGATAATTAACTACTATGTAACGCTGATGTATAAAAATATCAACCTTATTTTTAAACTTCACAATCATTCGTGGGTTAATGCGATGACCAGTTAAGCGATTCACACGCATTACATAATCTCTCGCTAATGAAACTGAATTAACGACCATTTTTAGTCTGTGGGAAAATTTGCATAATTATATTTGATTACGCAAGAATATATACTATTAGTAATAAAGAAATGCCAATACCTGATTATGTTTAATGTCAAATTAAAAAATTGTTCTTGCATCTTCACCACTTTACGTGAAATAAATGATGATCGAATCGTAACCCTATAAAAAGATGCAATTTTTTTCTGTTGTCTTATAAAAATAAACTCATCGAACTTAGTTGCACTTATCTTAAATCTAGTTATTCGCACGTTAAATTTCTAAAGTAATCGGAACTTCTTTACATAAATGCTCCCATTTATTGTTTTGGAAAATATACATTTTATGGCTTTAACCACTGCTTTATTTTTTGATCTTTGCAAAGATGACCCCGAAAATATCCATTTGTTTATAGGATTATATCCATATGGTTCTTCCTGTAGGATGTAAAGCAAAAAAATGCCAATAGAAAAGGCAAGATCAAATCCGAAATAAATTCCCGTGATGCTAACTGTGCGACGGAGGCACAGAACATCATTTATATGATAAATGGGAAATATTACGAAATTGAATGAGTTCTAGGAACCTATCAATAATTTTAATCAAATTGCAACTGATTTCGAATCGATCGGTAGGATGATCACAACGCTCCAGAAGAAATCAACCAACGACACTCCCTTGTCCAGATAGTTATAGAAGAGAATCTGACCAACAAAGCGAGGCTTCATCTTCTTCTTCTCGTTCAAATATCATTTCTGTAATCCGGGAACGATTTAATGACATCTTTACAGTAATATGATTAAGGGTACTCATAATTATTCTTTAGATTAGTTGTGTAATGTTGTATCAGTTGATGTTCTTAGACTTGATATGAGGTAATTGTGAAAGATTCGATAAAGGGATTTTACCGTGGGAAAAATAGGTGATTGGGTAGATCACATTCATTTACATACTGCGTAACAGGAAAGGAACTGCACTTCTCACTTTGCGAGGGTCGGCTAATTCCTCGAAAACATATGCTACTCCGGTCTTTTCTCATTGTAATATAGTAAATTTTCAATTGATTTTATATTGCAATGTATGTGACTCCTTCGTATTCATTCCGTGTACTGCATCTTTTCACTGAAGAGATGCATTACTGATAATACTATTTCAAATGAATGTAGAAAGAGGAAATGTTCTCGAAGCGATCATTCTCATTTAGCAATAATAACAAAACATATTACAATTTGAGGCTGATATAAAGCGCCTTCAAACTGGAACTTTAATTCCCATCGCATCGGTATCCTATAAACATAAAATGATTTATTAATACTACTAAACAAATAATGTTACATATAAGTTCATACAAATAATAATAATAATCAATGAATCCTGTTATATGAATAACTCTGCAAGCATTCATCCAATCTTAATGAATATATATATAAACTAAAACTTCATAAAGAATAATAAAGTCACAGAGGTCATTTTTTTGATGACACTGTGGAAGTTTCATAATCTTTGTCATAACAAAAAATAATTAAATAACATAAAAATCACAAAACATATTAAGATGAAACGCAAAACCAAAACCAAGTAACCCGTCCTTGAGAAGAAGGTCGATGTTTCAACTGATTGCGACATTACTAGCTGCGACACTACTGGTTGCGACTTTACTGGTTGCGACATTACTAGCTGCGACTTTACTGGTTGCGACTTTGTGGACATTGTGGCGCGTTGATTAGATCCACAAATTAAACAAGATCCACAATATCTACAAATATTATTTAATTGATAATTTAAAGTCGACGTTTCAACTGTTTCTGAATGCAACAATACGCTCATTATGCATTTAAAAAACACATGTCCATAAATTTCATCATCATTATTTAATTTATCGGTTTTTCTTTTTAAAGTGTAATATTTAGTTGAATGACTGTAAACACCTAAAAATATTAATATGTCTACATTTTCCAATTCTTTTGACGTCGGAAGTTTACGTATTCCTTTTAGCCTTTCCTGAATTTCCGTCAAAGTTAAATCGTTTTCTTGTATGATTCCTAATCTTGCAAGTGCTAGCATATATCCTTGTTTTGCAGCTTCTTTATACCATTTAAGTGCTGTTTTGGGATTTTTCTTTACTTTCAACAATCCTAACTCATAGCATTCTCCTAAACTATACTGTGCATATTGATTTCCTTTTTCATCATAACCATAATGCACTGTGGGTTTGGCAGCTGCGTTATACAGCTTAATCGCTTTAGCTTTATCCTTCTTAAGACCATAATATCCACCACGATACATTTTCGCAAGCTCTTTTTGTGCCAATTTTACATCGTTATCGGCAGCCTTCTGATACCATTCTAATTTTTGTTTGGAATCGTCTGTAAAAATTCCTAGGATAAATTGTGCATGTCCACTAGGTTTACCCGCATTTTGCAGAGCTGATTTTAAAAGCCATTTTTTTCCTTCATAAACAGCGTCTTGTGATAAATAGGCTTCTCCTAAATGCAATTGTGCGTCAGCTAATCCTTCTATAGCTGCTTCTATAATCCATCTGATTCCTTCTCTGTAATTATTTTCTAATAATTGAGTTCCTAGATTTACTTTTCCATGATTGTCACCAGCTTCAGCAGCTTTTCGGTACCACTCTTCAGCTTTTTGAGGATCACGTAAGGTTCCTATTCCAAAACTATACATGATGCCAATTTGATTTGCGGATTCAGCATTACCAGCTTCATATGCCTTACAAAACCATTCTTTTGCATTTTTGTAATCCTTTTCGGTTAAAAGATGATACGCAATATTTTTCATAGCAGTTGAATTATTTTGTCTTGCAGCCAAATGATACCAATGTAATCCTTGCTGAACATCACGTTGCACACCCATATCCATCATATACAAAAAACCTAGCATAAGTTGTGCAGGGGACAAATCTTGTTCGGCTGCTTTTCGAAACCATTTTGCTGCTTCTTCGTCGTCTTTTTTAATTCCATTACCAGTATGATATTTTACACCAAGATAAAATTGATAATTGGGCAAACCTATTTCTGCTAATAAGTAAAGACGTTCAAACTTCATGGCGAGTACATATTCCATAGTTATTTTCTTTAAAGTGACTTTATATGCGCCTATTTGGGGTTCGCATTCCTCTATCATGTCAGAAACATTTTCGTCTCTCAGCCATTGTGGGAACAGCTTGAATAGAGTACCACGTTCACCCTTTGTATTAACATGTTTTCCTCTTCCAGTAATAAAAAGGATAGTCTTACAATATTGGGTGTAATAAAAAGATTGAATAGTACGTTTTACATCATACTGCGCATCCTCGACAGAATACCCATGCAAGTCTCTGTCTAATGTACCTATACTAAAATATTCTTTACTTTCGTGAAAGAGGTTAATATCATTATCAGATATAGTATTAGAGTTTAAAGAAACAACTGGTGGTAATTCGTTCATTATAAAAAAAAGGAGAAAGTGTTTTACAAACACCTGTAGTACAGTATTGACCTAAGTGTCTCTTATTTAACCAATCGGCATTCTTAATGGTTCCACAGTGTCTTGTTTTTTTTCATATTCAGCATAATGAAATCCATCCCCTAAAATTGCTCATGTGATGTTTTAGCAGAATAGCGTTTACTAATATTAACCGTGAAATTACTCCGAAACCATAGGTTATTTCTACTACATTCCGACCAGAGCATATTCATATAATACTACTGGTCTTAATATTAAGCGATTGAGCTAAAAAAGTCCGTTATATGTCGTCCCAACGCATTCAATATATATTTACTAACATACAGAAAATTTTAGCTTAAAGTGCCCTTGCATATTTTTCCTAAATCTTCCCCTCAACATTTATGCGAGTCAAGAGGATGCGATTGTGGGAATGTATGACATTAAAAAAGATGGTATGTTTAGATCATTGAAAATTTCATATTATACGTTTTTTTATTACCATTTTTACTATGTCGAATTTAGTTGCTGGTTCCGAGAGAATTTTATTTATCAGACATTGAATTTTAAGATAAATCACTAAAAAAACATATACACGAAACATTTTTACGACATATGAGTGATGAATTCTATATTTCCAAAGAATCCACAATGACCGTTGCAAGGGATATTAATCAACATATTTTCAATCCGCAATGCATTGTGAATACTTTAGGAGAAACCATAGTGGATCTTTTTGATATCGATAAAGTATCTGTAAGAGAATCGAAAGTGACAGTGAATAAATATCACAAGTATTTTTAGGCAGACTCGATTGAACATTTTGTAATTTTGCAGATATCAATAACCTACCGCACACCACAGCAAAACACCGCATCCTATCATTGCGAATAACACCAAAAATGCGTTCAAGAATTGATAGGTAATTAGTAAGTATTTCGAAAATCGCTTACGCTTTATATTTTAAGGTGAAGAAACTAGATCTTGGACCAAATGTTCCCAAATCTTTTGGTGATTTTCTTACAGCTGCAGTTAATTTCAATATGATTCACCATGATTTGAAAGATCATTGAAATATCCTTTGCATGGTTTGCCTGCTTGGAAATTAAAGACAGAGAATCAACATTTCCATAATTAAAGTTAATCATTTGCACTAAACAAGGACAATTGATTGAACCTTTTGATCTATGGAATCTTCTGGTCAATATAAAATTAAGAATTAAGTTTTTAAACCGATATTTTATGTTCGATTTTTTTTATAAAAATTTTCTCGTTATATATTTTTTCGAATATAAAATTGTTTTTAAAAAATATAATAGAAAATTGTATTGATTACGATATTGAAAAATAAATATTGTGTGCAAAAATTTCAAATTTTATTAGATTTACAATATCACTAATTTGGATTGTTCTTACTATAATATGAGAAAAAAGGAACAGAAAAATATTCTTTTTGGACTTTATTATTTAGGAAATTATTTAAACATTTAAGATTTTAAATGTCTTCGAATTGTAGTTTCAGTAACTAGAAAAACGATAAAAAACCACTACATTAATCCTAATAATTAAACCTCAACTATAAAGCAAAAGTTTATTTTCACTTAAAGTTTTTTCTTTATACGAAGCTCTACTCTGCGAGCTATTATATTCAATTCGCCCGTTATCAAATGTTGTGGTGCGAGTAGGTATTAGTAGTTACCTTGAAAAGATGTTTGAATATTTTTGTTTCGGAGTTGCATTATGTTTAGGAATGAGTTATAATTTAGAATATTTTAAAAAAAATTAATTTCAAATACCTGAAAAATCTGAGTTATCCAAGTCAATTAAATCTGAATCTGTTATAAGGTGTTAAAAGTAAATACTTGGTAATAAAAATTGGAAATGCAATAGAATTTATACTATTTACAGTATAATGTATCTACCTGCGCAGTCAACCGACAACATTTCAAGTACTTTGTCAAAATTTGGGGCATTGGTTGGTTGACAAGTTGGAAAAGTTCAAAAGTCTGCTAGTATAAATAGCATTTGGGTGCGTTTTATAATTAAGCCCCGACGAAATGTTGTTTTTTTTCGAAACTTCACTTTCGTAATCTTTAATTTTTTCCTTAAAATCCGAAGGTTTATTACTGTTGAGCAATTGTGTCCATTCGCAGTATAAAGTGTTGCACACTTCTTCAGCACTAGGTCGACAAGACGGCCTCACATCCCAACATTGCATTATCAATCTAACTAGTCTTAAATGGAATTTTTGGACGTAAGCCTTGACAGATTTGTACAGCAAGATCTTGATCATGAGAAATATTATAATATGGAGGAAAGTCTGTGATCATTTCATATGCTATGATTCCAAATGAATAAATATCTGCTGCCGGTGTGTAAGCATGACTACACAAGACTTCGGGTGCAATGTATGGAAGAACTCCACAAATTTCTTGGCGGGTTTTGCTTTTTTGATTTTTATCAAAAAATTTGCAAAGACCTAGATCCGCGATACTTAAAAATAGTTCAGAATCATATAAAAGATTTCCAGGATGAAAGTCTCTACGAACTAATTTCTTTGAGTGCATCCTACGTAAACCCAGTGAAATATTACTTAACGACCTTAGTTTTAATTCCAAATCCATCTTGTAAAAATTTTCGTCCAAGTAATTCCTGAGACTGCCATTTTCTTGAAACCTAAAAACCATCATATAGCATAATGACTCTCGTTGTTGCGTAATTCCGTAACATCCAATAACACAATGACCCCACAGAATAGAATGTCTCTCAATCTAAAATTTAAAATAAGTTTAATTAATAATAAACTATTGTTAAACGAGATTTAATATTCTTTACCTCATTTATAAGATCGTCAACTGAGCTAAGCTTATCTAAGCTTTTTAATGCTACACTATTATTAAAATATGGTCTAACTCATTTATTATTGAGAACATCCCATTTTTCAATTTCACCATCTTTCCATGTCGCAGAATACACAGTACCATATCCTCCTTTAGCGATATATTTGACATCTTGAAATTGTGTATACGGTATCCATTCGAATATCTCCCAGCGAGTCTCGGCTTGAAGCTGAGAATTTTGTATAAATTCATCGATTTTTTTATCTCCACTAGTCTATTTGTCAAAATCTTGTTGAAAATGAATTCTACTACATGACGTGCACCATTTGCCGAATAACATAAATTTTTTATTACATTCGGAGCAAGACAACTTTTACTAGATATTGTTATTGCATACGTTACACGGACGCAAAAATAAGATTTGTATGACTTTATTTTTATTTCTTTGCAAAATTTGTACAACTTTGTATATTGTACACAATACCATACAAAAATTTTGGATTAAATAAAAATTTACCTATATTTAATATTATTGTATATTCTTTTTCACCTTTGAGATATTAGCACTTTTAAAACGAGTATAGAACAAAAAAATTGTTGAATATTGATTTTTAAAAATCTTGATATAAAAGTAGCAATTTCTTTAGCATATTTACAAATACATTTACTTATTTTAAATTAATCTTCAAATTTTTAATTATATTTTTAACAAATAAACAATATATTTTATTATACTGTATAAGCTACTCCTATAATAATATATTCCATTTGATCTTTTTAATAATTAATTAAGTAATTTAATAAAAATGACAACCCAGACGATTATATAATAAAATAGAATATATTTCTTTGTTAAAATATTTCTCTTGATATATAATAAACATGGACTACGTTAGTTATTTAAAATACTGTATACAGTGATGGCAAAAAAAAAATGACACTTTTCTTTATTTATAAAAAATTATGAAATTTTTTTTATTAAATTAACATTCATATTAATTAAAAATAAATTTATTGGTATTTTAAATAACAATAATATATTTACTTAATATTAATAGAGTTATATATTATTTAATTTAATTTTTTTCTGGTATTAGTTTTTGTAAATTCAAATATTAAAAAGTCAATAAATTAAAACTTTATTAATGATTTAAATAAAAATATTATAAAAAGACTCTATAACTCTATAATGTTATAAATTAAAAATAAAATAATTTTTTTGAATTTTTTAATCTTGTATTAAAAAATTATTATATGTATTTATTACAATGCTATTTTTATAAATATTTTAATATAAAAACTATTTAAATATTTAAAATAATTATTAAAAAATTATAACATATTATTAAAAAATTATAACATATAATTTAATTAACTTTTAACTTTTAAATTTAAATTAAATTAAAAAAATTATTAAATTATAATATAATTTAATATCTTATTTTTATAATTAACAAAAAACATTTTTTTATAAATATATTTATAAAAATAAATTTATTATTTTATTATTATTATTATTATATATAATTTAAAAATTTATTTAATATTTGTAAATAAGTTAAAGTTTTTATTTTATAATAAATTGATTATTAAAAATATTTTTAAAAATCAAAAATAATAACTATTTTTTAATTTTTTAATTATTATAATAATAAATTTTTAAAAAATTTTAAAAATTACATATTTTTTATATTTTTAATCTTATATAATTATAAAAAAATTTTTACTAATAAATTTATTTTTAATTAATATTAATATTAATTTAATGATAAAATAATTTTCATAATATAATTTTTAAAATAAAAGAAGAGTTATTTTTTTCATTATCACTATATACTAATTAAAATCCAATATAATCTATAATTTAATATTCGATTAAATTAATTAATTAATTAGATTTTTTCAATATTGATATAAGATCAATCCATAATCATACTTTTTTAAAAAAACCGATATTTTATGTTCAAATTTTTTTGAAAAAATATAATTGAAAAAACATGTATTTATTACAATATTAAAAAAGAAATATTACAGAAAATAAATTAAAGAATTTTATTTGTAATTAAAAGTCATTGAATGTGTATTAATTATGATTAGTTAAAATCATTATAAAAATAATTGTGATCAATTCATAACAATAATTCCGAATCTTGCTTTTATATGACTTCAAGTATAAAATTGATTTAAAAATATCTGATTTTAAATATAACTAAGATTAAAAAAATTAAGTATACTTGTATCTTCCAAATTGTAATCATCGCTGAACTAATTAGGATTATTCTTTCTACCTTTATTAGTACTATAATACGAGAAAAAGAAACAGAAGGGAATTCTTTATTTTTAGACTTTATTATTTAGAAAAGTATTCAAAAACATTTGAGATTTTAAAAGTGTCTTCGAATTGTAATTTTAATAATTAGAAAACCGATTAAAAAAATTAGTACATCAATACTATTAATTGAATCTCAACGATAAAAGCAAAAAAGTTTACTTTCGCTTTAAAATCTTTCTTTATACGAAGCTCTATTCTGCGGACAGTTACATACAATCTGGCCGTTGTCAAATTCCATGGTGCGAGTAGGCATTTGGTTAGGGATTTGTATCTTTTTGTTTCGGAGTTGTATTATGCTTAGGAATAAGTTGTAATTTCGAATATTTAATAAATGTTATCAACAAATAAGTTAAAGTACCTAAAAAATCAGAAATATCGAAGTCAATTAAACCTAGATTTGTTAAAAGTTTGGGAATGTCATGAACGTTATACTACCTACCTGCATAACTATACGACAGCATTTCAAGAACTTTCTCATAATTAGGAGCATTAGTTGGTTGTAATAAATTTGAAAAATTAAAAAATATACTAGTATAGATAGCATTTGGGTGCGTTTTATAATAAGTCCCAATAATTTATTAACTTGTGATTCTTTGCTTTCGTAATCTTTAACTTGTTCCTTAAAATCCGAAGGTTTATCAACAAAATTCCATTTCATTAAAGTGTACTGTATAAGAGGATCTGACTAATAAAGCGAGTCATCATCTTCTTCTTCTCGTTCAAATATCATTTCTGTAATCCAGGAACGATTTAAGGACATCTTTACAGTAATAATACAGTATTAAGGGGGCCCATAACTACTCTTTAGATTAGTTGTGTAATGTTGTATCAGTTGATGTACTTGGATTTGATATGGGGGTAATTGTGAAAGATTATATAAAGAGATTTTACCGTGGGGAAAATATAAAAAGTGGAAATTTTAAAAAATAGGTAATTGGGTTGATCACACTCATTTACATACTGCGTAACAGGAAAAGAACTGCACTTCTCACTTTGCGAGGGTCTAGGGACCGGCTAATTCCTCGAAAACATATGCTACTCTGGTCTTTTCTCATTGTAATATAGTAAATTTTCAATTGATTTTATATTACACTGCATATAATATTCCTTAGTATTCATTCCGTGTACTGTATATTTTCACTATACTATTTCAAATAAATGTAGAAAGAGAAAAATGTTCTCGAAGCGATCATTCTCATTTAGCAACATTAACAAAACATATTGCTGGAACCTTATTTCCTATCGCATCAGTATCCTATGAATATAAAATGATTTATTCCCTCTACTGAATAAATAATGTTACATTAAAGTTTATACAAAAAATAATAATAATCAATTAATCCTGTTATATCAATACTCCGCAAGCATTCATCAAATATTAATAAAAATATATATAAACTAAGACTTCATAAAGAATAATAAAACCATAAAAAAATATCAGTAATAATAAACGAGGAGATATAAGACACAAAACACATTAGGATAAAATGCAAAACATAGAAACACATCCATTCGAAGAAGGTCAGTGTTTCAACTGATTTAACTGATTTAACTGATTCAACTGATTTAACTGGTTCAACTGATTCAACTGATTCAACTCGTTTCAACATTACTGATTGCGACGTTGTGAACATTTCGGCGCGTCGATTAGAATACGCATATCCATAAATTTCATCATCATTATTTAATTTATCAGTTGTTCTTTTGACATAACAATATCCAGTTGAGGGACTGTAACCAAATAAATATATTAATATGTCTACATTTTCTAATTCCTCTAATGTCGGAAGTGTATGTATTCCTTTTAGCCTTTCCTGAATTTCCGTCAAAGTTAGATTATTTTCTTGTATTATTCCTAATCTTTTAAGTGCTAGCATATATCCTTGTTTTGCAGCTTCTTTATACCATTTAAGTCCTTTTTAGGATTTTTCTTTACTTTCAATAATCCTAACTCATAGCATTCTCCTAAAATATACTGTGCATATTGATTTCCTTTTTCATCATAACCATAACGCTTTATGGTTTTGGCAGCCGCGTTAAACAGCTTAATCGCTTTAGCGTCATCCTTTATAAGACCATAAGATCCAGAACGATACATTTTCGCAAGCTCTTTTTGTGCCAATTTTACATCGTTATCGGCAGCCTTCTGATACCATTCTAATTTTTGTTTGGAATCGTCTGTAAGACTTCCTATGACAAGCTGTGCACGTCCACTAGGTTCACCCGCATCTTGCATAGCTGATTTTAAAAGCCATTTTTTTCCTTCATCAACATCGCCTTGTAATAAATAGGCTTCTCCCAAATGAAATTGTGCGTCAGCTAATCCTTCTATAGCTGCTTCTCTAATCCATTTGATTCCTTCTTTATTATTATTGTTTAATAATTGAGTTCCTAGATTTACTTTTCCATGATTGTCACCAGCTTCAGCAGCTTTCCGGTACCACTATTCAGCTTTTTGAGGATCACGTAAGATTCCTATTCCAAAATTATACATGATGCCAATTTGATTTGCGGATTCAGCATCACCGGCTTCATATGCCTTATAAAGCCAATCTTTTGCATTTTTGTAATCCTTTTCGGTTAAAAGATGATACGCAATATTTTTCATAGCAATTGAATTATTTTGTCTTGCAGCCAAATGATACCAATGTAATCCTTGCTGAACATCACGTTGCACACCCATCCCCATCATATACAAAAAACCTAGCATAAGTTGTGCAGGGGACAAATCTTGTTCGGCTGCTTTTCGAAACCATTTTGCTGCTTCTTTGTCGTTTTTTTTAATTCCATTACCATTATAATATTTTACACCAAGATAAAATTGATAATTGGGTAAACCCATTTCTGCTAATGAACGAAGAAATTCAAATTTCAAGACAAGTTGAGATTCCATATTTTTTTTCTTTAAAGTGACTTCATATACCCCTATTTGGGGTTCGTATTTCTCTATCATGTGAGAAATATTTTCGTCTCTCAGCCATTGTGGGAATAGCTTGAATAGAATACCACGTTCACCTTTTTTATTAACGTGTTTTCCTCTTCCAGTAATGAAAAATATTGTATAACAATATTGGTTAGAATAAAGAAATTTAATAATACGTTTTACATTATACTGCGCCTCCTCAACAGAATACCCATGCAGGTCTATGCGTGCTGTATTATTACTAAAATCTTTTTTAGTTTCGTAAAAGAGGTTAATATCATCAGCAGATATGGTAGTAGAATTTAAAGAAAGAACTGGCGGTAATTCGTTCATCATTAAAAAAAAAAAAGAGAACGTGTTTTTATAAACACATGTAGCACTGACCTAAGTGTCTCTTATTTAACCAATCGGCATTCTTAATGGTTCCACAATGTCTTGTTTTTTTTCCTATTCAGCATAAAGAAATCCATTCCCAAAATTACTCATGCGATGTTTTAGCAGAATAGCGTTTACTAATATTAACCGTGAAATTACTCCGAAACCATAGGCTATTTCTACTACATTCCGATCAGAGCATATTCATATAATACTACTTACTGGTCTTAATATTGAGCGATTGAGCTAAAAAAGTCCGTGTATATGTCGTCCCCAACGCATTCAGTATATCTTTACTAACATACATAAAAATTTTAGCTTAAAGTGCCCTTGCATATTTTTCCTAACTCTTCCCCTCAACATTTATGCGAGTCAAGAGAATGTGATTGTGGGAATGTATAACATTAAAAAAGATGATATGTTCAGATCATTGAAAATTTCATATTATACGTTTTTTTATTAACATTTGTTACTATATCGAATTTAGTTGCTGGTTCCGAGAGAATCTTATTTATCAGATGTTGAATCTTAAGATAAATCACTAGAAGAACATATACACGAAACATTTTTACGACATCTGAGTGATGAATTCTATATTTTCAAAAAATCTTGAAGTGGGTACTAATCAACATATTTTTAATCCGCAATGCATTGTGAATACTTTCGGAGTGTATTTTTGCAGATAGCAATAACCTACCGCACGCCACAGCAAATACCGTATCCTGTCACTGCGAAGAACACCAGAAATGCGTCCAAGAATTAATAGGTCTTCAACCACTGTCTGGTGTAATTAATAAGTATTTCGAAATCACTTATCCCGCTTTATATTTCAAGATGAAGAAACTAGATCTTGGGCCAATTTTTCCAAAACTTTTGATGATTTTCTTACAGTTGCATTTAATTTCAACATAATTTATCAATTTCGCCATGATTTGAAAGATCATTGAAATATCCTTTGCATGGTTTGCCTGCTTGGAAAATTTGAAGACAGAATTTACATTTCCAGAATTAAAGTTAATCATTTGCATTAAACAAGGACAAGTGGTGGTCTTTAGATTGAACCTTTTGATCCATGGAAATCTTCGGGTCATTATAAAAATTAAGAATTAAGCTTTTTAAACCGATATTTATGTTCATAAAAATTTTTTTCGTTATATATCTTTTCGAATAAAAAATTGTTTTAAAAAATATAATAGAAAATTGTACTGATTACGATATTGAAAAATAAATATTGTGTGCAGAAAATTCAAATTTTATTAGATTTACAATATGTTAATTATAATCATTTAAGATCATCGTGATCGTTAATAACAAAATAATTGCTAATTTTAAATTTGCTTTTACATGAATTCAAAAATATAATATTCGGATTTAAAAATATTCGAATTTAGATATAACTAAAGTTAAAAAAATTAATATAATATATTATAATTATTACTAATGAGTATATCACTAATTTAGATTATTCTTACTATAATACGAGAAAAAAGAAACAGAAAAAATTTCTTTCTTTTTAGACTTATTATTTAGGAGAGTATTTAAACATTTAAGATTTCAAAAGTGTCTTCGAATTGTATTTTCAGTAACTAGAAAACCGATAAAAAATCTACATTAATCCCAATAATTAAACCTCAACCATAAAGCAAATGTTTATTTTCACTTTATGTTTTTTCTTTATACGAAGCTCTACTCTGCGAACTATTATATACAATCTGCCCGTTGTCAAATGCCATGGTACGAGTAGGCATTTAGTTACCTTGAAAATATGCTTGAATCTTTTTGTTTCGAAGTTGCATTATGTTTAGGAATAGGTTATAATTTAGAATGTTTTAAAAAAAAATTAATTACAAATACCTAAAAAATCCGAGTTATCCAAGTCAATTAAATCCGAATCTGTTATATAGGGAGTTAAAAGTAAAAATCTTTAATAAAATTTAGAAATAAATGAACGCTATACTATCTACATTGTATTCACCTGCACTGTCATCCGATAACATTTTGATTACTTTTTCATAATTAGGGGCATTAGTTTGTTGTGATAAGTTAGGAAAATTCAAAAGTCTGCTAGTGTAAATAGCATTTGGATGTGTTTTATAATTAAGTCCCGAGAATTTACTAGTTAGTGATTCTATCGAAACTTCAATTTCGTAATCTTTAACTTTTTCTTTAAGATCCAAAGGTTTATCTCTTCCGATTAACATAATCCAATTGTTTATGGTATGCCATATTTCATCAGCATCAGGTCGGTTCGATGGCCTTGCATCCCAACATTGCATTATTAATCTAACTAAAAATTTATTCGTCTTGAATGGAATTTTTGGACGTAAGCCTTGACTAATTTGTATAGCAAGATTTTGATCATGAGGAACATTATAGTATGGAGGAAATCCTGTGATCATTTCATATGCTACAATTCCAAATGAATAAATATCTGCTGCCGGTGTGTAAGCATGACCACACAAGACTTCGGGTGCAATGTATGGAAGGACTCCATAAATTTCTTTACGTGTTGAGGTTTTTTTTTCTTCAAATATTTTACAAAGACCTAGATCTGAGATTCTCAAGTCCAAGTAACTGTTATATAAAAGATTTCCAGGATGAAAGTCACTATGTACTAGTCTCAGTTCGTGCATTGTATGTAAACCCTCAGAAATATCTCTCAACGACTTTAATTTTAATTTCAAATCCATATTGTAAAAATTTTCGTCCAAGTAATTCCTGAGACTGCTATTTTCTTGAAAACCAAACACCATCATGTAGCGTAATGATTCTGGTTGTTGCGTAATCCCATAACACCTAATAACAAAAACGGTGTTGCCCCACAGAATAGAATGTTTTTCGATCTAATATTTAAAATAGATTTAATATACCTTACCTCATTTATAAGATCGTCAACTGAGCTAAGCCTATCTAAGCTATTTAATGCTACTTTCTTATTAGGATGACTTCTAATCCATTTCTTATTAAGAACGTCCCATTTTTCAATACGACCATCTTCCCATGTCGCAGAATACACAGTGCCGTATCCTCCTTTAGCGATATATTTGATATCCTGAAATTGTGTATACGGTATCCATTCAAATATCATGCTATTATTTCTAGCTTGAAGCTGAGACTTTTGTATAAATTCGTCAATTTTTTTATCTCCACTTGTCCATTTGTCAAAATCTTGTTGAAAATGAATTCCGTTACATGACATACACCATTCGTATAATAAAAATTTTTTATTACATTCGCGACAAAATGGCATGATTGATCTTTTTGAACTTGGACTTTCCCACTACTGTAGATATTATATAATTGTGTACGTTACACGCAAAAAATAAGATTAGTATAATTTACAAATGTTTATTCCTTACTTAATAAGACAGTACCGATTATCTTTTGTAAAATTTGTATATGATATATTAAATTTATCCATATACAGCAATTCATTTATACAAGACACGATGTCGTACAAAAATTTTATATTAAATGAAAAATCTACCCATATTTAGTCTTATTATTGTTATCATATAATTTTTTTCACCTTTGAGATATTGGAACTTTTAACAAGAGGAACGAGCTAAATAATTTGTTAAATTATTCTATTTTCAAAAATCTTTACAATATGAAAGCAGCAATTTCTTTTAGTCTATATTTAACTATTTCTGCTTATTTCAAATAAATTTTTCGAATTTTTAAATTATTATTTTTAATAAAAAACATAATTTTTATAATATAAGGTACTTCTATAATAATATATTCTTTTTTAGTAATGATTTTTTTACTAATTAAATAATTTAATAAAATATAACAAATCCCGATAATTACAGTTTGTTGCAAATTCTTTGGACTTTTATTTTAGTTTACAATTTAATAATTAATTAATAAATGATTATATTATTTATATATATTATTTAAAGATTTGAAGATTAAAATTAATTAAATGTTTTGTTATCATATAGTAATAATATTATTAAAATTATATTTGAAATTAAAAAATACTTAACCTAATTTTTTTTTAATTATTTTGTTATCTTATTAAAAACGTTTTTTATTAAACAATAATTAAAAAATTATTATATCATTTTTTTGTAATTTTTTTATTTAATTAATTTATAATTTATAACATTTTGCAAATAAATTGGTTTTTAAAAATTAAAATATTATTTTATAATTTTCTTATATAGATTATATTATTTCTTTAACTTTGTCTTTATATATCTCCTTCTTTATTACTATCATAATAATTATCTTCTTCATCATTCTCAACATTGCTAATTTTTTTCTAAAAATATATTCAAGTAAAGTTTTGATTTCTCCTACTTGTCTCAATCCAATTCTTCCAAACAACTTTAAAACAGTACACTTTATTGTGCCACTATAACAATATCAAAAATTTTCTCAAAATCAAAAACCAAAATCAGTTCAACTCCTTTAAACAATCTATATAATTTCAACAATCAATCTGATTTTGACTTTTCAACCAAACAAGAACCAAACTAATATTTTTTTTTTTTTGCAACTACTAGTGTATATCTTGCTTTATAAAGTATTATAGAATTAATATATATAAATTCATTTTATATAAATTTCTCACTATATCTACATAATAAAGCTATCTAGGCTAAGATTATTCCTAACTACCAGTTGGCTTATTGCCCTTCATTCTTCCTATATTATCAATACTGGGGCCTTAATAGCATAGGTAGAGTGCTAATGTATCAGAATATGCATCTTCCAGTTCTACTCACTATCCGATAAATAGAAACTCGAAGAACTGTATCCTAGAACAGTCAGCGCAGACTATTCATATCTAACAAGAAGTCTTTGTGACTATGACTAGGTCTCTTAAAAAGTAAATTTTTTCTTTTTATAGTCTTGTGGACTATAGGAATAAGAAAGCGTGCTCCATGTATAAGTATTGAGAAAAGCATCAAATTTGACAATGATCATTATAACACTACTGGACAATT